TGATTGTACTCAAAATCTAATGTGGTTAGTGTCTGTATGAAATAGTACAGATGGGTTTATCGAATATATATATATAGAGTTTGTAAAACGTTGGCCAAGATTTCTGAAAGTGCGTGAGGAGAAAAGTGCGGTTTGTTTTTGTTTCACAAATCTCGGCGTCCAAAAATAAAAGCATTTAGCAAAATATTATATGAAAGAAGGAATCTGTTGTTCAGCAATGAAATTAATGAAGAGTTATTGCTGGACTTTCTCACTTTTTTCCTGAATGTTCACTAATATTCGATTGACTGAGTCGAGTCTAAGAAGCTTTTATCATGTTATTAGTTAATGATTTCTTCTTGGAGTGGTATAGAGAACTGAGACAGTATAATGCATCCGTTGTATTTAATAAAATAGCTGACAATGCTTAATTCAAATGTTTAGGTACAAAAAGAGAATTTACGATTTGGTCGTTGTTCGATCAATCTTGCTGTATATTGATAACCGGTTGTCTCATCTTAGTGTGTGCTGATTATTTGTTCGTAACGAGATTTACATAGGAATAAGTAAATATTAGTAAAACCTAGTGAAAAATTTTAGTACATTGAAACAAAATCTGAGAAATTCCAGAAAACGTAACAGTGATAGAAAATCAAAAAGTCAATTGTTTTTACATTGCTCAATATGGTTATTGCATTCCTGCTGTGACACTCTCGTTGCGTGTTGCGTCCTCAGGTCAATGATTATGATAGTCACTTTCTATCGGTATCTGCTAGTATGATACATTACATCCGTGGCAAATTTTATTGACCTGGGCTCATCACATTCTCTCTCTCATCTTATCAGTATCTTTCAAATTCATTGAATTACTTCAGCTTCATGTCATTACTAGACAGTAGAAGTGTCGCTTCTGTGTAAATGTTTAAGAATTATATATATGTGTAATTTCTGAGTGTTATGACATTTATTTATTTTGGCATCTGCCACTAATTAAATCGAACAATAGCTTATCTGAAGTAACATGTGTTCCTACGAATTGAAAAGCACTTTTTTCCCTTTCTCTTCTAAATATTGCACGTGGTTAAGTAAAAAGGAAGTGAAAGCAATAGATTGTTTACGAAGGAAAGAAAAAAAAATTGTTTTTATGTATATTTTCATATTTCTTTCGTATTTCTTAAGTACAGTATATAAATTGTTTGAGGAGATTAATGTTGAATAGATGAATATGCCTCATCATTATTTTATTCACACATTTTCTCAGTTTTACTGATTAGAAAAATGAGAATACGGCCAAGATAGAGAAAATATAGACAATTATGATTCAAAACAAGTTTACCTTATATCGATAGTAATTGTCGACGACTGTATTGAACCGTTGACAAACATTTCGCATTGAGCACAGTATTGTAAAATCACTCTGATGATCCAGTATTAAGTAGATAAGTTCTACCGGTAATGTAAGAAAAGTACGAGCTGTTTTATTCGACATTGATAAATATTATTAAAATGGTCTTGTGAAGCGTTTTATGTCGATAGAATGAAGTATGTTATTACTTCGCTTCGTTGGTTTTAAGTATGTTTATACTTGTGATGTGTCACAGATTTCGCACAGTGACGAAATTACTTGTTTGAAAGAAGCGAATGAAAAAAATGATGTCGTTGGCTGCACTGAGATAACTAATACAACTAGTTTATTTACTGCTTTATTTTTAGTGATAAACCAATATATAGTACGTAGTTTGACGATATAATTTATTGCGAGAAATACCAATGAAAGACAAACGAGAAATTCACTAATGCACTTTGATGAGACTGATTTTGAAGACTCCATATTTATAATAACAAAAGAAAAACAGTAATACAAACTAAATACCAGGGCTTCGAATGGAATCGGATAAACTTGTAATCTCATGGGATGGGACGGAACAAAAATCTCATCTCGTGAGATATGTATTACAGTTTTTGCAACAGAAACGTGTGTGATAGCAAGATGTTCTTGATGATCAATAGTATATATAACTAACTATGATACTTTCTTCTCATTTCTTATTAGTACTTCTCACTTAGAATACAATCGAATAAATAAATAAATAGATGTTAAAAGAACAGACAAGAACAAAAATCAATTTTATTTATCTTTATCATTCGAGTGTATTTTTAGACATGATCTTCCCAGGTCAAACAAGCGCGATCGTATACGGAGAAATACGACCACACACGACCCTATTTTGTCGTATTACCTGAGGCCGTATTACGATCGTATGTCTCCGTGCCGTATAAACGGCAAAATACGATCTTTTATGACCGTTTTTCTCCGTAAACGATCATACTTTTCCGTATACGGTCGTATTCAATCGTTTACGAAGTTCGTAATAATCGACCTGGGTTTATTTAATTTTATTTAATCTATCATCATGCCCACAGTGTGCCAAGAGAAATGACAAACATCCTTTCTAATGACATCCCTAAATTGAATTGATCGATTTCTTGATAATACGAAGAATAAAATTCAAGAATGGTATATAATTTTTTTTCGCCGAGAATACTTTATTTATAATCTCTTCGGGGATGATATTCATAATCTGGTCTAGAATAAATCATATAAATAATCATTCTTGTTAACAAAGAATTCGATCTAACTGATAGATATTAAACATTTGTCTTTGTTTTTTAAAAGTTTATGATAACTAAAGGGAGAAGAAAAACAAACAAAGAAAGCAGAAAAAGTTAAATGCGAGAATATATGAACTAAAGACGTGAACCTTTTCAAAATGGAAATATCTCAATCAAAAGGAAGGAGGAAAAAAATGTGAATCCAGCAATGATGATTATAAACCCATTTACCACATTAAAGAAAGTTACAAAAAATTATATAATCTATTTGATCAGCAAATGATTGAGCCAATGATACTAAACCATTATCAATGATAAAATAGATGATGTAACCAAATACAATCCACCGTCGATCTGTTATTGATTCTAATAACATTATATCCACTAAATAAGATACGATGATTATCAAGTTCAATACGCATCGATATTGAAAGTCGTTTAGTAAAACAAAACGCTTGTGATTAACTTCATTTTGTGTTGGTTTAATTTTATTTCTTAATGCATAAAAAACTCACACATAATGAATAATAACAGTACTCGAAATTTAGATGAGCTATTTTGTCCAATATAAATTAAAAAATTCATATATAGATCAAATAAAGAAGATCGAACTTGATTATTTTATCGTTTCGATTATAGAAAAGAAAAAAAAAGAGAAAAAATGACTTTCTAAACATAAGAAGCACATCGTTTCTGACTATATCAAACACAACCAAAGTCAGAGCGATCGAGTATATACAGTAAAGAGTATCGCGACTCATATTAATCCCAAGCGGTTCTAAACAAAGTGTTCTCGTTGAAAAAAAATGTCATATTCGTGGTTAGCCTAATCGATTATTTTCGTCCCAGTCGAGATCTGGAGAGGATCCCCCTGACCACAAGCAAAACAAATTTGGCCAGACATCAACGATAATTTACCAAGGATAACTTAAGTACAATCTGCAATTCCTCCTCAATTACGTTTATTAATTAAAAATGTAGATTTACAAATTGATTTTAATGAATTCCGTGATTCTGTTAAAGATAAATTTCCTCAAGTCAAAAATATATTAAGAATGAAAAATAAATTTCAAACCATCTTGAGGGTATGGGTGTGCGTATGGATGAATAAGAAAAATGCTGACACCCTCGTAGGTCAAACATCTGCTCTAAGTCCACACCCAAAAATATCTGTTGTCGTGATATATTCCATTTAGGAATAATTTCTAATAATAATTTTCAATTAGAGTATTTCATAAAGTAACAGTTATTAATTAAACTAAACAGGTTTCTGTTTATTCATTCCGTTCAAATAGTTTAAGAAAATCTTTTTTATTCTTGTTTATGTAACCTATGAATACATTTGAAAAACAAAAAATTTTGATTAACTTCATATATTCTCGTTCTTTCTCTCTTTTCTTCTTGTATATTGATGATTTTATTTTCGTAGGTAATATATCCTTAATCAAATATTTTTGCTTCTTAATATTTGCTAATATAATTAAATAAATGTCAATAATACTTTCTTATCTTATCGATATTAACTATGAAAATAAACGGTGTTTTTTTATATTTTGAAAGTGACTGTATACACATATGTAGTTATAGGTATAACTAGCCTATTAGAAAATATGAAGTTATATTATAATCTTATATGTATTTGTTGATGGAAATGAATTAAATATCTTATTTTATTAATTCTTTATTACACAATTATTTCACTCTCTCAAATTCAACGAAATGGTACAACATTCAATATTATTGTCTGCCAATATCTTTTCATATTTCAGGTGCTACATGATTAATGCCTATTCTTGGTCGTTGACATCGATTGAAAAGAATCTCAAATAGAACATAGATCAATTGTCGACGAAATCTTTCTGATACACAAATATATATGTAAAATGGAATCTATACATATTTAAATAAATAGTAAAGAATATTAAAATATAAAATATAGTTTCATTAATTTATACTTACTGCAAAGGTCAGATAATAAAGAAAAATACCTATAGTAAGCAAACCTTGGATTTTCTCTGCAAGAATTGGATCATTCATAATACTTGTATTTAATGAAAGAGCACTCAATATGTTAAATGGTGTAAGAGTAAAGAAACTCGTAGCAGTTTGTACAAGAACCATTATTGTCAATTGTTTATCTAATTCTCGACGAAAAAGTGGCAATGTTCGAAATCTTAGTTGTTGTATATTATAATATGCTAAAGAACCAAAAAGTGTTGTAATAATGATTGGTAAGAATCCAATGAAAACGATATTAAACCAATAGCTAACATATTGTGCAAAGATTTCATTTGTAATTTTACAAGAAATTTTGCCTGTAATAGGTGATTGAATTTGATTATAAAATAAACAGTACTGAATATTATGTACAATTGCAATAAGAACAAATACTGTGACCAGACGATAAGCAAATTTGAAATTGCACCATCGTTGCCATCGAGGATAAGAACATGTACCAAAGTATTGATCAATTGTTGCCAAACTAATGCATATTAATGAGATCAATGTAAATGTATTGAGAAGGAATAATCGGAATTTACAGTAAAAGAGTGAACTTTGTCCCCAATCTATATTAAATCCACTAATCATAATACGAGAGAAGAGACCAGCAATCAAAAGACCAATATTAACAATTGACATGATTGTTAAATAAAAAGCACATGAATTTTGTCGAAATGTTCGAAGACTAAGAAATACAATTGTATTGAAAATTCCACCAAGTACACCTGCAATGAGCATAGGTATGCCGAAGTAAATGCTCACTTGCTGTGCAATAAATATAAATGTCGATGTGTTCGATGCTGACATATTCTTTTTCTAAATGTATTATCGCTAACAGATCTAATGAAGTTTTCTAAGAAAATTTATTATTTAAATCTAAAAGATTATTATATAAGTAGATATAAATAGTAGAAAACTTAACTGTAGGGAGTGTTCTACTGCTTAGAGAAACATCTTTCTACTACAAAAATGTCATTTAATTCAGCATAACGAGACTACATTAAGAAGAGAAGAGAAGCTGAAGAATATATGAATAAAGAATATTAATCTAGCTCCACATCACAATTAATGCTGCAAAGCATTTATTTGATTTGGTCGATCTCAGCAAAAATTTTAATTAAGACTTAATAAATAATCTTCTTTTTTTTCTGAACACCTTTTAAAGTAATTCTAATGAATTTTTGATAAACAGAAATGTTGACATAGTGCTTTTGTATCTTTTTACAAATAAATAAATGCGAAAATTATTTTAACGTTAATTTTTCATCGTCATACAAAAGAGTTTTTTGTTTAAGTCTTAATAGTATCAACTTTTAAAGAGTTGACCTACTTGACAAGAATATCACATTCGGTTATTCTTAGTTTAGGAAAGAACGACGAAATGAAAGTACCAAGAATTAATTTTCTACGTACGTAGATTTAATATTGATTATCTTACCTGAATATGTTTTCATATACATGAACGTTTATACTGATCCTAACACAGGAAGAAAAAACTCTACCTTCCGTTTTAATATCCGAATGAAAAAGCTAAAATTATTCTGAAATTTATCATGGAAATTTTTAATTTCTTATTTGTATGCCCTAAGCATAACGTAGGAAGATGAGATGTCTTTTATTTAACTGAAAGAAATTAGTTTTCTCATGTCCAAAATGATAATATCTTCTCAGTTGACGTCATCTATACATCATTGCTCGTTTTAATATAATATATCTTATAGTCTAATAAATCTAAACTTCATTCTTAAACAGATGCTTTTAAAAATTTAACTTGTATATGATGCATTATTGAAAAATAAAGATAAATTGCAAGAATCTTCTTTTAAAGATAGTCACTGATCAAGTTTAACTCTTGGTATACAATATCATTTATTTACTTTGTTAATTTTCTGTTTACGTATTTATTCTTGACTTTCGAGTATAGATATTATAATCGAATAAGTTTAATGATAAAAAACAGTTCCATAGTTATAAAATATAAACGATTAATACTGAAATAATTGTCTATTAATTTTATTATTATTTGTAGCAGTGAGGTTATTCATTCTGATTTTTTACACTATTTTTCCTTCTTGAAAAATCACTTTCTATGACTTTAAACAAGTAGACTCAAAATAGCTCGACGTAATTTGCAATTATGAAGATTTTTTATTTTACCTTGTTATTTATCTCAAGGATAATTATGTCTGTATTCTCTTCTTTATTGCGTTAGATGTGATGTATTTAATTTTAAATGAAATGGCGCATGTAGAATCTACTTATATACATTTATTCAACTAACAATCAATAACATTAAACTTAAAAGAACTCTTGAAGGTGTGAGTTCTCTACTTCTCATATCTACGCGCAAGCCCAGCACGTCCACATCCATATTGATACATTTATACAATCTCCTAAAGAATTTTCAAAGAAGAATACAGTGTTACACATGATGAATTATAGATAAACTTTGAATTATAAGAAAATTAATTCATAAAAATCTCAAATATTTACAGAAATTATTTTGGAATGATTGACAAGTTAGAAATATTTATTCAAAAAAATTTAAAAAATGAATATATGTTCAACTCAACGAGTAAAACGATCTGAATACTAATAGCTATATAGACATATTTCTAATTCAGTTGACGACGTTAACAATTCATTTTTCTATAATACAACTACATCAAGCACATGGATTACATAGCATTATACAGACAACAATATTTATAATAAAATAATTATTTGATTAAATGCAAATGACGAATTATATGATTAAGTTTTATTGCTATTCACAATCACACCTAGATCCATAACAAATATGTTAATTACTGATGTCTTACGAAAGTATAAGCAGCTATTCATATCAACTAATGTTGTTTTTAACGTAATACATAAAATTTGGATTAATAAAAAATTTTCATATGAAATATGTGAAGTAAATTAGCGTATGTATAGTTTATTGATAGATAAAGTTAAATCATAGGATACAAAAAAAAAGAAGTTTTTATTTTTAAATTTGGCCAGCACCACCATCAACAAAAAGTTCAATACCAGTGACATATGAATTATCATCTGAAGCTAAAAATACTACTGCTTTGGCAATTTCAATTGGATGGCCAAGTCGTCCTAAAACAGTTGATGATGTAAGTCTATCAACAATAAATTTTGAAACTTCCTTTGTATTTCCCAAATTGTGTACCATATGTGTATCAAGATGGACCTGGACTAACAGCATTGACTCGAATTTTACGTTCTTTTAAATCAACACAGAAACAACGAGCAAATGAACGAACAGCAGCTTTACTTGCAAAATAAACAGATGATCCTGGTGTTCCTTTGATTGAAACAAATGATGCATTTAATATAATAGAGGCTCCTTCATTTAAAGGTGGTAAAGCTTTTTGAACAGTAAAAAGTACACCTTTAACATTAATATTAAATATATTATCATAAAATTCTTTAGTAATCGATTGTAATGGCATCGAACCGGCAACACCAGTATTTGCAAAGAGTATATCTAACTTGCCTTTTTCTTCTTTAATTACTTTATAAATTTTATCCAGATCATCTAATTTTGATGAATTACCTTAAACTGCTGAGATATTTCTACCAATTCTTTTTACTGCTGAATCAAGGGCTTCTTGACGACGACCAGTAATAAATACATAAGCACCTTCATCAGCAAACTGTTGAGCAGTTGCCAATCCAATAACATATATACGATTCTTTTTTTGCTTAGTCATGATGATATAAACCTTTCTACTTATTCAGTAGTGAAAGGAAAGATAAACGAACAACAAACATACATATTTAAATACATTTCTTTGTATCTTTCTTATTAAAATATATCTAGACATTTGTCATGAACAAATAAATAGTTTTTTAAGTTAAAAAATCTAGTTATAAAATGCAAACAAATGCTTTTGTACATATTCCTCTATGTAAATTATTATATTTTTTATAAAGAATAGACGTAGAATATATATTAAAATGTATGATTATTAAGTGTTGAATATTTATTTCAATGACAAATGTTAATAAGAGAAAATTACAAAAAAAAATCAGTCATAAAAATGATATTATAATTAAAAAGACTGAAATTTAATATGGTATTGGTTTGTTTTGTCGTGCCCATTCTTTTTCTATTTCAGGAAATTTAATGGGTGGAATAAGTCCGTTCTCACGCCACATTTCTGGTGGTACTTCTTCAACATGTACCTTAAAAAGAAAATAAAAATAAATTAGAAATACAAGAAAAATTTCATCTCTTACCTCCCAATCATAACCTTTGTCTTTAATAAATGGTGCTATTGCGTTTTCATATCTTTCTGAAAATTGTTTTTTTGCTTCTTCATTTGGAAGTTGTCTGGCAAGATGTTGTACAACTATACGAACAAATTTATCGGTCGGTTTACCACTAACAAAAAACGATTCACTTTCAATAGGTGTAAAGAGAATAACCACATAAAATGCAGGTAAGCCTCTATCAGTATATAGAGCAGTTATACGTTCTGAAAGTTTTTGCTTGTCTGAAGATGAAAAGGCAGACAGTGGATGGTAGATTCGATGTAAAGGCATTTTACTTGTACAATATAAATTATAACGTATGAACAAGTGAGAGTGTATTTATACTATCGATTTTACCTTCATCATCATATATCTTTACCGTTTAATCAGCTGCTCTTTCGTTCTTTACATATGCTTCATCATTATGTTGATGTATACATAAGCAAAAAAAATGCATCGTCATCGGTCACTTGTACGAATAAAACGTGTGCAAATTTTCGTACATTAATATAAACGAAATCATATCATTCTAACAAAAAAAGGGACGAATTAAATTGAAAAAAGAAATATTGATCAGTTGTGGGCGATAATGAATTTTCAGGATAAACTCAATCGTTTAATTTAAGAATAAAGAAAACTTTTTTTTGATTATCTATATCCACCCAGCTAAGATTGTTACCTGTTGATAGAATGAGAATATTATTAATGCAATTAATATTCTGATTTATAGGACGATTTATTCTTGACTATAAAACTCTGTGTTCGAAATCGTTTATAATCAATTGAGAGCATTGGTTATGAAGGCTGTACAAGTAATATCACACTTTCTTGTATTTGTTTAAGCAACTGAATAGCTTCGTCGCGACATAAATTGTTAAGAGATTTATCATTAACAAATAATAATTTATCACCTTTTTTTAATCCACCATGTGCCCATGCAACACTATTTGGAATAATGCGTGAAATATATATAGGAGATTTTTCATCTCGTCCCCCTCTTATGTGAAATCCAAGGCATTCAGTAGTCTTTCTTAATTCAATAATACGAAGATGAGAATGATCATAATCAGGTGTAAAATTAAATATCTAAATAAAAAACCTTATTTATATATACGACAGTTCAATATTATATAAATCAGATACCTGTTCACATTCTTCTCCTACGTATCCAAACTTTATTCGTTGCTTATTTGTTTGATTTTTAATATCAGAAGTAAAATCAATTAAATCTTTGTCATTATCGTTGAATGAACGTGACAAATTATTATTTCGAGAAGTCTTAAGATTATTGATTGTATTTAACCATCGTGTTATATCAATTTCAATAAAACTATCTTCATTACCAGCTTTCCTTAATTCTTCTGTTAACTTTTGTACTACTGTTTGAAAATAAAGTTTTTGTAGATTATTTTCTACTATTTGTTGAATTTTGTTTATTGATTTTTGTTTCCATTCGTTAATTTCTTTCATAGATGAGCATTGCATAGTTCCTTCCGTTTCATCAATTATACTTTGATAAAATTCATCACGTTCATAAATAATTCCATTCATATTTTGTCTTAATTCTTCTCGATGAGCAATAAAATCTCGAGTACAAAAAGCTCGATTGCATCCTAAACATATGGCTGTACAGATGTTCTTTTTACATGTCACACACACGTGTTTGACGGTCGTTGATGAAGGCATACGTCTATCTATATAACGATATGATTAGATTATTTAGTATCCAATACAGAAACGTAAAACATTATAACTTCACATCTATATATATATATACGCATAACAGTAGTATATGGCTTTTTTCCCCATATAAATCATATTAGTCACTAGGAAGTTATCAATTTCGCAACAATATATTAATTCCAACATGGATTTTATTTTTTAAATAATATATTCTACATTAAATATCGATAGATAAGAACATAAGACTATTAAGATATGCAAAAAAAACAAGCTATCATTCACTACAAAATAAAAATGATTAATATATGTGTAAATATTTATATATAACTACAAAAGGAAATGATCTGAAGTAGCTTGATTCATTCTTTGATTTATTTATTGACTGGTGAAACTGGTGGTTTTTTCGATGCATTTTGTTTTTCAAAATGATTTTCCATGTCAATTAAAACTTGTGGTGAATAACGTACAACTAATTTGACACTTCCTTGGGCTTGTTTAAGTAATTCAACTGCTTTTTCATGATATTCATTTTCAACAGATATACCATTAACAGATAATAACTGATCGCCTTTTTTTAATCCACCTTGTTTCCATGCAACACTATTTGGAATAATACGTGAAATATAAACAGGCGAATTTTGTTCTCGACCACCCATGACATTAAATCCTAAACCTTCAGCAGTTTTTGGTAATTCAATAACACGTGGATGTGAATGACCTTCACTAGCAGCAAATGCAGCAACCTAAAATAAAAGAATTTTCTTATAAAAATCTCTTATAATCAAATAGTTTCTTTGACATACAGTTGCTTTAGCTGTAGCATTAGCTCGAACTTCAGGTGAACCACTTATATCAACTGTTTCATATATTTTTTCATAAACTTCTCGTACAGCATGAAAAAAATCACTTTGAAATATTCGTTGTAATTCTGTTAATTTTGCTTCAGGAATTTCACTTGTTGTTCGAAGACGATCTAGCAAAACAATTGCTCGTTCAATATCTTTGTCTAAATTAAGTGATGATTCTCCTATTGTAACTGACATTTATCTAAAATTGTAAAAATAAAAATATGACAAATACAAAAAAAAATATTAAAATAAATTTATCCAAATAAAATAAGAAATAGTATAGTTATAATATTAAATGCAATCAATGGAACTAAAATTAAATAAAAAAGAGAAAATTCGATTAAGTATATTAATATGAATAATTCTTTTTTACCTCTCATTACAGTACGAACAGATCGAATTAAAGTAAGTAATTGTTGTTTAGCACCGCCTGCATTCTGATGATCATTACCATATGCACCTGCACCAGGATAATTTTGATTATCAACATTTACTAGAATAATATGAATTTGAAAATAGTTATATAAATGAAAACAAAAAAGATTGACTTACTCTTTGAAAGAAATCGTTGTTCATTTAAAATGGCTACAGCATTAACGCAAAGAAGAGCAGCTTCAATAAGACTATACAATGAAAATCCCATTCTTTACTTTTCCACAAGCTAAATTAAAACAATGAAATACAAAACAAACAAGAAATTTTTTAAATCTAAAAAAAAATAAATAGAAAATCAAATTGTATTACTGGAAATATTATTGCTGTGTTAATGGAATGTAAAAGCAAAACAAGTGAAAATTAAATATAAATAAATAAAATATTTATGAAATAAAAAAAAAAGACTGAATTGTTTTTTCTTTATTTATTGCCTTTGGATTTTGGATTTAAAGCATTTTTAATTAATTCTTCATATTTATTTAAATTAAAACTGCCTTTATCATATGCTGCAAAACTTCGATGATGTAATTGTAATAAATTAAGATAATCTTGTTCAGTATATTCGGGTCCATGTTCTTCAATAATATTAATAATTTCTTCTGGTTTTGTTGTATATAATAATTCATAATATTGATGTGCACGCATTAATTCAGCATCACCAACTGTACGTATTTGTGCTAATGTTTGTTCAATTGTAAAAATATTTCGACACATTTTTGTTACACCTGATTCACTTATACGATTGAAACGTGATGCTGAACGTATTAATATTGTTGCAAGAACAAATCCAAGACCTTGAAATAAAAATGAAAATTTCTTTTCATTTAATGATGAACTTAATGTTTCTTGTAAACGTGTTAAATCACGATTTAATTGCATTATATTTTCATCTGGATCCGTATCAATTGTATAAGAATAACTTAATGGATTACGAAATAATAATGATAAATAATAAAAACAATGTAAACGTATTTCAAGAAATAAAACAAGTAATATATCATAGGATAATGTTAAGATTGTTTTCATTGCATTAGAAAATATTTCTAAATTTACACGTGAGATTTTTAATTGATCATATTGAGAGAGATTCTGTTTGGCTGATCGTGAAGTAAAAACAGATGTTACTAAAATAAAGAATAAAATTTGGTATACTCAGTGAATGATTGTATGTTAACAATAGATGAAATTAGAATTCTATGGCTCCGAAAATCAATCGGAACTACGATTCCGATTCTAATGATGTAGAAGTAAAAAAGAAAACATAAATTTTTACTCGACGCATGTAACACCAGTCTTATACAGATAAACAATTGCAGTGTTGTTGAAATGACTAGTCTATATAAGAAATGATTCTATTACAAACATAATTAGTTTTTTCTTGAGAGTGTCATTCTTGACATTGATAAGCAGCTATGCATGCGATCGATGGTTTTGATCTTTAGCTCGTTCTATATTCATGTCTAATTTAACAAGGAAGAATTCTATTAAAGTTGATCACGACATACTCTGAGTAAAAAATTCTTGCAGTAAACATCATCATAGATTAGACACTTTTAATTTATTTCATGTCATGTCGACGATAAAAATTTTCTCCTATATTTTAAACGCTAATTCCAATTAATTCATTTTCTATACATTCGTTCCCTAAATCTGACGAAAAAATATCTGACATTGCACTAATCGGGGAATAACTCGAGGTGTTCAAGCCGTTTAGACTCTATATTTTAACAGTAAGTAGATCACGATAATGCATAAAAAATCCCAAAAGGACAAATGCCCTTAGGCATTCCTTTACGAGTTATATAACTATTTTAGCGTGCTACTTAATATGTAGTACTAAATCGAATGATAATATTTCGAGATCTATTTATTGTCAATACTTATATTTCTTTAAATCTATAAAATTTCTACCTGTTGTTTGTGTTAATGCATCAAGATATCTTGGATCATTTAAACATTTATCCAAAATATCAAAATAATATAATAATTTACAATATAGCCAATCTAAACTTTCATGAATAATTGCTAAATCTGCAATATGTTTTGAATTAGTACAAATATCTTCTGGATTCATTTCATTTTGACTAAAATTAATTAATAATGTTTCCGTTTCTTTTGCTTGTCTAAAACGTATATTTTCTACATTATCATTTTCTTCATCACTTTTATATTGTTGTTTAGCTATACGTATAAATGTATCAAATGCAGGCAATGTACGTAAATGACGATTAATATCTGGATCTTTAACCCATTCATTTGAATAAATTGATATTCCAGGTGTATCTGCTTTTTCAACAATTGATAAAAATAATTTATTACAATATTCACGATGTTTAAATAAGAGATCAGCAATAGCTTGACAAAAATCATCTGCATATGTTGGTAGACATTTAACTAATGCACATAATTCTTCACAAGATTTAAATATTAAATAAGTTGATTGAAGAATTGGTACAGGTAGTTGAAGTTGTTTTTGTAAAACTAATGGTATTAATTCCATTAAACGATTTTGATCACCTATTTTTGATGTTAATGAAGATAATTGTGCTGATTCACGAATATCTTTTATAACACGACCAATAAAACAATCACGAATAAATTCAGTTAATTTTCTAAGAAAAGTAAACAGAAAAAAAAATTTCTAATCGCAAAGAATATACAAATGAACCATTCCGTAAATAGACAGCACTGTCGAACATGTCATTTACATTTATATATAGTCAGACACTATTAGTTAAATATCCTAGGGCAATTGAATTATGTTGATAGAAATTATCTTTAAAAGGCGCTGACAAGAAAAGGAAATTCGATTAAAACTGAACAAATAGAAAGAGTAAATATGTCTAATATTAGGAGAGTCAGTTGGAAATTTTACTGATCAAATAAATCCATATCTTACCTATCAAGAATACGTTTTGTAGGATGTAATTTATATTGTATATCAATATCTTCAATAATTCTTTGAAGAACATCATGTACAGCTGTAACATTTCGATAATTTGGTTTACATACATATTGTTTATATGTAATAGAAGATGTTTTTGTTGTTGATGCTTTTTGTTTAATAACAAAACGATTTTGTTCTTGTAAATATGATGTCATTGAATTAAATTGTGCTGATTGTGAAAATGTAAAAATACGTGCTATTTGTTGTGAACGTGGTGGAGCTTTTTTTGTTAAATATTGTGAGAAATCAATTAATGATGGACGATTAGCATAATCAGTTGAAATTGATGTTGAAGATGAATTTGATGATAATGTATCTAATGTATTATTATAATCAATATATTCATTTAATACATCACTAAGAACTTGTTGAAGAGTTTCCCAAACAAGTTCAATTGAAAATATAAAAGGTATTTCAAAATGTATTTCATTTGGAGGAACTGATGAATGTTGTTCAGATTTATGATCTAAATAAAGAAAGTTGAGTATAGGATATGATACCTTGAAGTGTTTTAACTAATCGAAAATGTTATTCAACCAAAAGTAATTAATTCTTTACGAATGAATGATTTATTTATAGGCATCATAATAAGAATATTTTCTCTTACCTCATGTAATTAAAAATGTCAGGGATATATCTTTCATCTTCTAGCAAAATTTTCTCAATTTAGATTCTTCACCCGAGGCTCCTATACATCTTAATGTCTATAAGTTATTAATTCTGAGGATTATTACTAAGCAAATTCTTAAAAAAAAAATCTTCTTATTCTATTATTTCATTAATTTTTAAACTAACCATGTTGTTTATAACATGTAAGATATTCTTGTTGTTGAACTTGTAATGGTGCTTGACGTTCTTGAATTAATTTTAACATATTCAATAAATATTCAGTTGTTTTAACAATAAGTTTAAATTGTTCATAACATGTTTCTAATAAATCTCTTAAACAATCGGGATTATTAACTGTTAAATTTTGATTTGAATTATTTGATTGAATAAAATTATTATCAATAATATGTTGTGTTGTACGTAAAACACATCGATATAATTGTTCAGAAAATAATTTTTGTATAAAATCAAGTGTAACATTTAAATTCGATAATATTGATAATGATTGTAATAAAACATCAAGATATAAATCTGGTGCTTGATAACGTATATCAACTAACATATATTTATCAGGTATAATTGCTAATAAATGTGATTCCATTGATAATTTACCTTCTTCAAATTCTTGATCAAGTTGTTTTCTTAATAAACGATTTTCCCTTGTACGTAATAAAGAATTTTGATCGGTTTTATTTGTAAGATTATTCGCTGTTGTTGATGTTAAATTTTTATTTCCAAGTATATCTCGACATGGTTTATCAAATAATTGATCAATTAATTCAATACGTAATTGATCTTCTAATGCAATACGTTCTTCTTTTATTTGTGTATCAATATCCGAGAGAGCATTGATTAAACGTAATTCTTGATGTTCTTTTGCTTTTATTAAAAGTAATGATGCATGAATATATAAACGTTTATTTAAATAAAATTGTAAACGTGATGGAATATATTTTAATTCATCTAAATTTTGATATATACGAACTAATGCATTTTGTTCAGATGTTAATAACCATAATTTACGTATATCTTGACGTTTTAATAATAATAAATTTTTACATTCACGTAAACGTTCACGAACATTTTCTACACGATTTTTTGATTGTTCGATTGAAGTATATATATCAGAAAAATTTGTTATTAATTCGGTTAAATCTGCACTAGAAGATGTTATACAACGTTGAATATTTGTATTTGAACGTTGAAAACGTTCTTTAACAAAACGTCGTTGTTGTTCACGAGCCTATTTTATTAACAGATACAAAATATAATTAAATGTCAAAAAAAAACAACAACAATAACAATATTTATATATGATACCTCAACATTTGTATTGAAATTTAAATCTCGAAGTATTTTCATTAAAATAAATGTTGTTGATTGACGTTCCATTTTAATTTTAATTTCTTATTGAAAATATGAATATTATTTCAAATAAAAAACAGATCTTTCTCAAATTAAATCAACCGTATCATATATAATACAATTGATAGATTGATTCATTCTTCCTCTCTCTTCATCAATTTCAATCCAATCATATTGATAGAACAATCCTCTATTTTATATATACATACAGATGTTTAATGAGATACAGATTTAAGAAATGTATATCGTATGTTATTAGAGTTCGATGCTTGTCAAAAACAAAACCTAGAAATCAGAATCAAATAAGTATTGGTTGTTTTTCATAGAATTACTAACGTCATCTATATATGTCACACAGAAAAAAAAAACTTTTTTTTTGAAACATGTTCTATTGTTCATCTACATTGAAAAATTTAAATAAATCATTTTTATGATCTCAACTATTGTAATAAAAATAAACTTGGACATGAAAAAAAAGTGCTGTTATATATGTACAATAAGCGATAGAAAAGAAAATATAAAATAAAATGAAATAGATTTTTTGAAGACGATACTTATGTTTAACATAAGTATGTCTGCAACACGTATTATAAAACAGAAAGTATTTATTTTCTTTTATGCTTTTTCAAATTAAATATTATTTTAATAAACACCAACTAGATTTAAATAACAAAATTACATCGAAGGATTTTCTTTATTGCATATGCAGATGATGATAATTCAATCGATCTAATTTCATATAAGTAATATTATTATACAATTTGCATTATTTATCAGATTATATTTATAGTAAAAAAAGATGACGTCAGAAGTAGTTTATTTCTTACGAGAAAATTTTTCAAATGATGTTAATTTTAGTAGAATAATTCATTAGATATGAACGATCGTGTTGTAAATGAATGTGTTCCCTTGACTAGTATATATATAGAACTGATTTTCTTTTACTTTCTTCAAACAATTTGTTTTTCTTCATTGTTTTTATATTCTCGTTTGTCGAGGGATGAATTCACTTCTGCGTCTTTTTTCATTTTTACTTTACATCATAAAACACAATCAATGAATCGAGAAAAAATAAAGAAAAAAAAGACTACAATAACACCACTGGTTGAAAGATCTATAACAGCAGTTACTGGGCAGACTCGAAAACGACAAGTCATATTACCATCAGTATATAAATCCAAAGAACTTGATACGGATTATCTTCGCGCACTCAAGGTTACTTTCTTTTTCTTTTGATTATCTTAATTTATCAAATATGAATTCCTTCTCGCATTCGAAACGTCGATCGATTTTTCTAGAAATTTATTCTGTTTTTTTTCAGGTAATCGATCAGACAAATGGACAAAAGGAAATAATTTCTGCAAATCCTAAAAAGAATGTTCGTAGATCAAATCCTATGAATAAAAGTCATGATCCTCAAGCATCATATCAATTTTCATCAACATTAACGCCAGTTGGTCAACAAGCAATGATGAAAACTTATGAAGATACTCTTATTACTCACTTAACAGATGTTTACTCTTCGAAACGTATTGGTAATGTTTTACCTCGTCTTCAGACTGCAGCATATCGTCATCGTTTATCACCAGTAAATAATAAGAATAATAATCAAACTCATGTAGATAATATTCATCAAGCTCAAAATCTAATCGATCATATTCTTCATAATAACCGATCTAAAGATAAAATTCTCTGTGATTACGTGAAATGGCAGCATCGATGGACACAAAACTGTTAATCTATTATGATTGTATCTAATATATAGAATAAAAATAATTTCATTCTGTTATATTTTATGATTATAAATATCTCATTTTATTTATTGTGTATATCACTAGGGAAATCAAGAACTAAAAGAAGATAGAAAGTTCAGATTAAAAATATCAGGATAGTGTAAGCAAAAAGATCAAAATAGACTAATGGTTGCTAAGATTTCACATTGGACTAATCAATATCAAATTTAAATATTGGTTATTTTTATTAATGATATTAACCTCTTTTAAACAGCACGAATAGAAAAAATGAACGATACAAATATATACATATATGTAATATGTTTATGATACTAGTTCAATACCAGATGCATCTGAAATTGTAACCATAGGATGAATTGCATTTCGATTAGATTTACAACAATAACATTTTATTGGTAACCAACATTTTTTTAGTAATAAATATTTCACTTGACGACGAAATCGTGATGATGTCACCAAAAATATATAAAATGTTAACTATATAGAAAAATAAATATTTTAAAAATAAAAAAAATAAAGATAATAATCTTACTGAATAATTATAGATAAGTAATGAAGTAACAATTGTTGCAACTACCTGATTTATATCATAGTGAAGATCAGTTATTAAATTTATATTGATATTTAATTTATATATTTGAAATATTGTAAATGGTAATGTAAGAATAACAAATACAAGAACACGTACAAATATCATTGCTGTCATTTGATGATCAAGTCTTCGACGTTGAATAGGAACTTGTCGTCGAATAAGATGACGAACATTTCGATAAGCAAATAAACTGAATAGAGATGAAATTAATATTGGAAATAATCCATTCAATAAAATATAATAAAAATAAGAATAATAACGAAATAAAGCTTGATTTGTTACAATACAACCCAATGAAGGTACAATATTAGAAAAAAATATATATGGTATAGTCTGTAAAACCCATAGAATAGTTACTATTATAACTGAATAACGTGCACGTTTGAATGTAGGAATTCGTCGAAGATAAACTCGATAATTTGTTGAAAAAAATTGATCCAATGCTTTAAAACATATAACTGAACTAATTAAAAGTCGACAGGATTGAATAAATGTAATTTTTAATTTACATACAATCAATGAAATATCATCAGGTTCAGCGCCATAGATTTTTTTAAAAATATGGAAAATAAAATATATAAATAATAGAATTGTGCTTACAATAGATTCAATAATTAAATAAAAAGCACAACGATTACCACGAAAAACTTTTAATTTAGTAAACACAAGAATATTGAAAATATTACCAATAAGTCCAGCAGCAAATATAATATTATTGATATAGATAATATATTTATCAATGATAATATCAAATCGATAAACATCTGATGAAGAAGACATTTTGATGTACTCTACTGAATTACTTATTTTATCTTTTGCTTTATTTCATCGAGTATAGAATAAAATAAAGTGCCTCGTTATTTTTTGTTTTTACTTCATGGCATCGTAAAAATGAACTGATTAGATATAATGAGTTATTATGGGGCTTTTTCATCATGATAGATTTTTAATTCCTGACATTTAGAATAATCTTTTCATAAAAAGAAAACTAATTGTCTGAGTCACGAACGAATATTTCGTTGAACAATAGAACAGGAAAAAAACCAGGATAAATTTCACCTTATAATCGTGAAGATAACGTATTTATTCATATTCAAAATTTTGTTTCTACGAATAATTCGAATTTATTGGTACTGAGATATTAAGAAAAGAATTGTATGACAGTAGTAAAGTGGATTATCGATCAGATGAAGATAGAAAAAGTGCATATATTTAAACAGTAATAATGTATGATTGCTATATTTGAACTGAAAGTATATTATAAAAATATAGTATGACTGTTAGAATCGTGACATAGAAATAGTAATGAACGTACTTATTATTCTATTACGAATATAGTACAAAACATAAATCTTGATAAAAAAAATGGTATAAACTCGTAGAGATTGATTTAAGTAGATCAAAATATTCAATCAATTTTTATATGGGGAACATGTAGGATATGGTCACTCTCTCACAAGGAAGGTTTAAAACCAATTTCGTCCCTGAAATCATCATATCTAGAGTGCTAAACTCTTCTTATTGAAACGGTGAAAAAAAAGACGAAATTCAGGAATTTTTTACTGGTAATAGATTGTGTTCAAATACAAATGCTATTGGAGTTGAAGCAGAAGGAGTAGGTTTACCAACTGCAAATAGTGGACATACTATTTGACCCGAAGTACAATATCAAAGTTATTTACGTGGTGTTCGAGCTCTTAAGACTGCTTTTAATGTACCAACAACACGTGTAATGGGTCATAAAGAAGTTGCATCACCATTGTTAGGTTGCAAAATGGATCCTAATTTTTCAATGGCTGAATTTCGTGCAGCTCTTTAAAATACTATAGTTAAATCCTTCAATTACTTTTTATTGAATAGATGTTGATATTCTAAATAAGAGTAAAATGATATACTGTATAAAAAGCTTAACATGAAGTATTTAAAAACAATTGTTTATGATTGAAAAGTTGTTTTTCAGTAATTGAGAAACTCATTAATATTTTAAAACAAACTATAACTTGTTCACATTCAGCTTGTTGAGCAATATTTAATGAAAGAAAAATAAAGAAAAAATCATATGATTTATAAACTTCGCATGTGACATAAAAGAAACATAATTATAGACAATAAAAATCTTACGGTGCATTGTCTGTCATTAGAATACACGTTATTAAAATATTTATAACGAACCAAAACTGATATTAAAAATAAACAAAAATAAAATTTTTTAATATCTATTAGACAATGTGCAAATAGGAAATACAGAAATATCCACATGTAATTTATTAAAAAAAATCATCACATTATTCAAATAAATATAAGTTAAACGCTAGTGTCTAACTGATATTAACATAGGCAGCTTGACTACTATGCCCATCGGTGTATACCCAAAAGCTTAATGCATAAATATGCCCGATTGTTATGGGAAAAGACTGACGTAAATAATCATAATTGCCTGCACATGCACCTTTATAACAGAATGAGCCTGTGTGACACGTTGTCTGCACTAGACTACCACCTGTTCCTCCACAATTGGTATTCGAACATAATACCTGCCAGCCAATTAAGGTACCAGTTTGAAAATTGCCGTTTACAAGCATTTCAATATTTAATACACTTGTATCAATGATACTGACATCATCAAGATGCCAAGTGAAAGCTGAATTTTTTGCCTTGAAACCAAACTCTAAAGTTGCAAAACCGCTATGTTGTGCTGTAAAACTATAGGTCTGTTGTGCATAGCTGAGTGGTGAAGTTGTATAGCTGAGGACATAATTTGTTGATGGAATACATGAGATACCTATAAGAACAAAACGGATTAGAAATATAAAATATTTACTCAATTTACTTACTGACTGTAGTTGTAGATATAGAAGTGGATGTATATGTTGAAGTAATTTCTTTAAGAAAACAAACATAGTAATAACAATTTATAAGAGACTTTTCATTTTGTATCAACAGTTATTTATGATTATGACAAGATTTTATAACAGACTTCTTCAATTCTCTACTATTTGTCTAATAGGAACTCTTACGATGTTAACTTATAATAGAAACGATAATTTAAAGAAGTTGACTAAAAATAATAAACTGACGCATTTTTAATCTGAGATGAAATGTGTCTGTTCAACAGAACTATGCAGTATTTGATTTCATGTTATGAAATACGATTCCAATCGCTTCTTGTTTATACTTACTGGTAGAATTTGTATTTCTATAAATCACAAGAGTGATTATTTTATTAGTAGGTACTACACGTAGGCTTCCTTGCCATAGTTGTGCTGAGAAAAGAATACATGTTTGATTGAGGCCATAGTAATTAGTGATGGTGCAGTTTGAATTGGTATTGCATTGACATATACAAGAGTTCAGTGACTGAATACCGGAAAGAGTATTTAGTTTATAACTAACATCATTTAGATCAAATACTGCATTATTAATTATATTAATACGAACGGTTAATACTAATCGCCAACAGGTAATCAAAAATAGAATAATTTTCCACATTTTAGTGTAATACGATCGTACTTCAAAATAAATGTTGTCGTCTATTTTTTTTGCTCATTTATATATATATATATATATATCACGTCTTTATAGATATAAATATACATAAATTACAGTATTCCATGACAAGGAAAAAACATCATAGCGAACTCTTTATAAAATCTTTCTATTTCCTTTTATTTCATATGTTTTTAATTCTGTTACCTCTTGAAGCATACACTATTATTGCGTTTCATTAGTTTATTTCATTTCAACACTATACTATCTTATATTACATTCTGATTATAATCAGACATGTCAGGTGTGAAACTCACTGATATTATAATTCATTTCAAAGTGAAAGATGGAGAAGTGTGCTGTTCATCCTCGGAAAGAAGCGATGAAGAATCATCAAGATTTTTCTAACTTCGATTTTAAGGGCGTCACATAAAGATTTTAGAAAGACAGTATGTCTCTCATCAATAGGATATGAATTTATTGATTATTCAATATAATTTGTACTTTTTATCATAAATAGTTCAAAAAGTAAAGAATCTTCTTTTGTATGATATATTTCATCTGAATATCAAAGAATTTCAAAAACAATCACGATGTAATATTGAATCTCTAGAAAAATACCAAAAAACGTAATTAAAATTGTTATTATTTTAAAATGATAGTAATTTATATTTTCTTTTTTTTATTCAAAAGGCTTTGATATAAATAATTATCATGAATAGATGACAGATAAGTGAAGAGAAAAGTAAAAAAAACATTGGTATATTTACATTATGAGATGAAACTTAATTTTATTTGTATTTTTTCTCTTATATATAATCTTAGAGAAAATAAATCTTAATGAATAACACGAAGTAAACGATAAATAATAAGTGTTCCAACAAGACTTAATAAAATAGTTGTTAGAAAGTCAAATTTTACATATGTCCAAAAATCAAATTTATGTTGAAGTGAACCTGTTGGTGGAACTTGTTCAAGAACCAATAAAGTTAATAGAACATTGGAACAAATATTACTACCAATAAGAGTAAATATATGGAATATTAAAAGTGATTTTATATCGGTTAACAATGCTGAATTAAGTTTAAGTACTACCCTATACAAAACGATCGTTTAAGTCTAGAACATTCAGTAAATCGAGGTAATTTTTTCAACTCTGTAGTAACAATGGCTGACGATTATTGTTGTTCTTCTTCTTCTTCTACCTGTTCTTGATCAACAACGTTTATATTACTTGAAGTATCTACTGGTCATATTCGATTTTTTCTTTGACATTGAATTAGATAGCCAAACAATAAAAGTTGGAATCCATAAATATTCCACACAAGTTTTAAATTCAAATCGACTATGAGTATCAACGAAAACATTTGATTTCGATACTATTAAAGCCATTTGAGGATTACCAAAAATAGTTAAAGTACTTCCTAAATATATTGAATAGAATTTCTCTTAAATACATATATTAAAACAATAAAATTATTTAAATAACACAAGCAACGTCATTAGTAAACAAAACAGCAACAATCGAATCAATAATACTTAAACATAATAACCACTAATGAAATTTAAGTCTTGATGGAAAACGTTTATTGAATAAATAATCAATTAAACATTCACGTTCGAAATATGATGAAATTACCATCATACCACATAAAAGAAATATTGTTTTTAAATTACTCATATCACCTATAACAGTAATAACAATCATAAGAAAAGCACCAACTGAGACAGCTCCTGTACTACCTAATAGATAACGAGTAATAGGAACTAAAACAACCAAAAACCACTTGATAAACATGTGGAGATAGAGCAGAAGTAGTTGTATTATTCTTCATGTTAAGAATATTTGAATCAATAATTCATAGAAATTACGCAATTAATTTCAATAAATATTTATTTGTTGATGAAAATATATTTATAGAACAAGAGAATAATAGCTATTGTATTGTGGTTATTGCGTTTGATAATATTTTTTGTGATTTTTACTAAAAATTTCTGATTGAAGTAACATAATTCAAGAAACTCTAAAACGGTTCTTAATATATCTGTGAAGTCTGTAAATATAGTTTCGATAGATTCTACTTGTATTTGTCTATTTGACTCATATATCACAATATCATTGAATCCTTGAGTAAATACCTTTTCCTTTACTCTCCTTCACTTTTTCTTTGATATATAACACACACACACATATATATTTATTGTTTCTAATGCACTATTTTCACCTTGACTAAGTTACAAAAACATACAATTATGCTAACACATATCTATTTATTTATATCGATTTGTCCATTTGTATTTGGTAATTTTCCATATATCAAAGGTATAATCATTTACATAAGATAAAATGGATAAGTATTTTATTTATTTTTTTATAGAAACTGGTTTTAAATTTTGGCTTGGAATTGGTCTTGGTGAATGTTATCATGAATTATTAGAAAAAGGTTCACGATTATATTTTATGTATGAAATTTTAAATGCTGATACACATGATGATCATATAATCGCATATTTTCGAAATTCTTATAATGGAAGTATTATTGCATCATCAAGAACACCTCATCGAGGTCATTTAGAATATTTAACAAATGAAACAAGTAAAATATAACACATATATTTTATTTATTAAATAATTATCTATTTAGTAACTATTGATATTTGTATGGATCATGAAAAATCAGATACTTATCCTAAATATATATCTGTATTTTTTCATATATATCAATTTGATAAAATTGTAGCTCAATTAAAAGAAATCGAACATTTTGATAATGCATCAATAAATGCTCATGTAAGATTTATTCTTTGAAATATATTTATAGACTAATTTTTTTTCTTTTTATTGTAAAGAATTTACTTATTTCAATCAATAATCATATAATGAATTCACGTGAATATCAAATGGAACTTGAAATGTTAGATCAAAAAGATTTATATTTATTAGAAGAAAATTTCTTTTGGATTAATCGATGGGCATCTATTCATATATTAATAATTTTAAGTTGTTTTTTATTTCAAACATATTTTATTAAAGGTTTATTTGTAACATCAAGAAAATAAATTTTGTCTTATTTATTTTCAAGTTGAATTTTTTCTTTCGTTATTATTGACCAAAATTGTTCAGTTGATTTTTCAATTTCTTCTTTTAATTCTTCTTCTGAACGATTGATTATAGTTCGAATTTGTTTATCATGTTTTAAACGCAATCGTGTTTCAAGTAAATGAGTTCGTCGTGTTTCTCGATCGAACATCTATATATTTTTAAATGAAAAAGAAAACAAATTTTAATAAAAATATATTTACTGAAGCAACAAGTTGTTTTTCATTTCGTTCAAGAATACAAAGACTATCAGATAATTCAATTAATGTAACATTACCATCTTTTGTACCACATGCTATATAACGACCTTGATCTTGAAAACTTAAACAGGTAATTGCTTCTTCACTTAACTATTCCAATATTTATGAAGAGAGAAAATATAATTTGTGTTATTTACTTTAACAGTTAATGTCGGTTCATCTTGTTTGAATAATAAATCCCAGATGTGAATCGATCCTAGGATAAATGAATGGAAAATAAGCATGCAGAATTATATTGTTTATCATATTTATACCTTCAGTTGTTGATGAAATAAAAACACCCGGCCTTCCGGGAGACCATTGTGCATCAGTTAAATAATATTTATCTGGCCTGAATAAAAAAAGTTTTTAATTTAATTTTTCATTGAATTCAAAGAACTGACTTTGTACAAATAATATAATCATCTCGTATTTCTTCTGACCAGATACGTAAAGTCCAATCGCCAACAGATAAAAATGTTTTATTAAAAAAAGGATGTCGTTGAATAGAATAAATCGGTCCAGAATGACCAGGATAAATAATATTGATTCGTTCTGAATCACTTTTCGCTTTACGTGTACATAAAACAATACGACCTGTTTCTGTTCCTACCATAAATTTTGTTGGCTATAATAGAAAGAAAATCATATTTAAACAAAAAAAACTATCAATATATATATAACTTACAATACTTGAATCATATTCAAGTTTAGTAATAGCTGATGCATATTGTGATCGTTCTTTTTTATCCAAATCAAGAATTAATTGATCTACTGGTTCATTCATTTTTTTTGTATCCCACCAATAGATTTTTCCATCTGAAGAAGCTGAAAAAAATTCAGTACCAGTTTTTGATTGCAACCATAAAGCATTTCGAACTGATTCACGATGACTAAATTCAATTAATGATTGTTCAACTGCATGATTTCCTTTACGTAAATCAAATATACCTTTTGAAATAGAATTAAAAGAAATTAAATATTTGAAAAGAAAAAAATAGTTTACAAATTTGACCATTGTGACAACCAGCTAATATTTGATTTGTATCTTTTGGATTAAATTCAACGGTTGTTAATGAAGAATTTGGTTTAAGAATAAAATCAGGTTTATTTGGATTTTCTATGAAAACAATTTGACTAAAAAAATCGATCGTTAATTAATTTTACCAATATCCCAAACAAGTGAATCAATTGTCTGTATTCTATTTGGATTAAAATCTAGATTACAATAAGAAACAGCCATTTTTTGTTGACCATCAGGTTGCCAAGATATATGATTAGCCATATGATTAATATTTTGATAATAATTATATGAATTAATTGTTTTAACATTGAATAATTCATCATAATCATCGATTTTATTTGGAAAATAAGTTTGATGAATATTTATTGCATTATTCTGTTGAATACTTATTTCAAGATCCTAAGAAGAAAAATTTGGGCGTATAAATATAGAGGAGAAAAATTACAATATAAATATTCTAGTACTTGAATAAGATGATAGAGTGAATTAAGATAAAATTCATCTTTTTCAATTTTTTTTCGATAACGATTTATTTGTTCTTGTTCTTGAATATTAACATCTTTTGGCCAACCACCTTCAGTATGATTTATACCTTTAGATTCTGTATTATAATGTATTGTATTAATCTACTCAATTTTTATGAAGTTAGTTTGAAAATTTTCAATAAATTTTATCATATACTTCATGTTCAGATAATGGAATAGAATTTTGTATACCTATATCAATTGGATTTCGATAGATAAATTCTTGTAATAAATTAAAATTTGGTACAATTTCTGCAATAATCTCAGCAGGTCGATCACTAAAATTTGTTGGTCGTCCAAATTGATTTCGTTTTTTAGTATAAACATATTGAATATCCATATTTAATTAATCAACAGCAAACAGCGCCATTTATTTATATAAAAAATATAAATTCAATCATGTCTGTTCGAATACTATTCATTTACACTCATTTAGTACTTGGAGTTGATGGAATTTAGTACATAAAATTATTCTTTTAAAACTGTAATGAAAAAATAGGATGCTTTTCTTTGAACTCTTAAAGATCTTAATTTTTTATTCTGTGACTTTGCTCAAATTCATTCTGAATTTATAATATGTACAATAAAAAATTTTTACAGTAGAGGTCGCTCAATAACAATATGTGTGCCCTTTTTTGCCACAGTAATTTGTAACATCACCATGGAAAAATCCTTTAATTCCAGGTGAAAAATGCCGATTACTAATCATGATAATATTTCTTTTGATTTTTTTTTTAAATAAACAATCTTACACAATCGATTTTGTTTGATAAATAATGAATGGATATTGGATAACCTATGAATATCAAATACAATAGAAGAGAAAAGATAAATAAATGTAACCATGACTTTTTTCTTTCTTCCGTTCTATTTTGGGAAGATTCTAGTAGGTATTTCTTTACACTTATTTTAGATATATTAGTTCCTTTTTAAAATGACTTCCAATAGTGAATCTGAAGTAAATGAAAATGTTTTATCTGATTTAAATCAAACACCAGCTGAACAACAGCCTATACAAGTCGATGATTCAAATAATGAAAATTTAAATACTGATGAATCTCCATCAACAACTACAACTCGAACATCTGGACAAACAGCAATCGGTGCTAAACTTGTTAAAAAATTAGAAACATTAGGTATAAACTTTTGGGACATCCTTTTGCATTTTACAAAAAAATGTTTAATTAAAATTTTTGTTTATTCTAGCAGCTAGTTCTAAAGAAAATAAACAATCTAATGGTAAAACTTCAACTGTAGTAGCTAGTGGAAATGGGAGTGCTTCTTCAGCAAATGCAAATAATAATGAATCTGAATCACGTCGAAATATAAATAAAGTAGCAAGTATGTTAAAATCAATTTATAATTATTGTTTTATGAAATTATTTGTTTATTTTTATAGAAAATTTGTTAAAAAGTTTAACTGATCCAGATCCACAAAAAAATCTATTAAATTTAGCAGTAAAAGTTGCTGAATATCAAGAACAAAGTCGTACTTCGCAAACAAAAATACATGAACTAGAAAAAAAAACAGCAGTTCTTATGCGTGAAAGAGATCAAGTATTACTTGAAAATGGAAGAGTATCAGCTGCTAAAGCAAAATTAGAAAGTTTATGTCGAGAACTTCATCAACATAATCAACAAATTCGAGTATAAAATTTTCAATTAATACAAAATTTGTTCTATATTTTTAATTGAAATCTATTCAGGATGAAAGTATTCAACGACAACAAGAAGATGAAACAAAACGTCGAGAATTAGCTACAAAATTTCAAGTATATTTCAATCGTTCTTTTCTTTTTTTTTTCTTTTTCTTCTAAATTTATTTATGGTTTATTAGACAACGATCGATGAAATTGCTTCGCAATTATCAAATTATAGCGAAAAATCGACATCGTTACGTGAACAAAATATTAAATTATCTGAACAATTAGCATCGGTTGTTAAAGATTATGAATTGCGAGAAAAAGTAAATTTAAAATATTTTTTTCTTATTCATATTGTTGAGAATATTTCTTTTGTAGGAAGTTGAAACAACATTAAAGAAAAAAGAACTTGAATTACGTTTAACTGAAGCTACATTAGAACAAAGTCGTGTATTACTCAATGAACGAACAGAATTAATTAAACAAGAACGACAAGTCGTATGTTTTGAAGTTTCTTGTTGTTTTTTCATTTGTATCTTTCATTTTAAAAGAGTGAAGCTGAACAATTGGTTCTATATAGAAAATGTGAAGAATTAGCTCAATCAGAATTAAGTCTACGTTCGCAAGTAACAGTTTATGCTGAACGATATCAAGAATTTCAAAATGCTATTCAACAAAGTAGTCAAATGGTTACATCATGTCATAGTGAAATAGAAAAAATGGGAAAGAAAATAAAAAAATTAGAAAAAGAACGAAATGATTTTCGTCATCGATGGGAAATTGCTGAAACAAGTCAACGAAAAACAAGTGAAGATGTACGAAGAGAAAAAATAAATAAATAAATAAGAAATAATTTCAAAAATTTCTATTTTTAGATGAAATTATTAGAAAAAGAAAAACGACAATCAGATATTAAACTTGATAAATTAGATAGATTATGTCGAGCATTACAACAAGAACGATTAGATTTACAAGGAACAATTAAAAATTTAACAAAATCTTCATCTATCACTCCAAGTGAGAATTGTACACCAAGTTCTACTACAGGTATTTATTTTCTTAAATTATAATGTTTGGTTTTTCTATTAAAAATTCTTATAGCTTCATCAACTTTAGAAACAGATAAAATTGCTACTGTTGATGCTTCAAAATCTTCAGAAACACCAACAATAAATGAACATGATGTAGTAGAAAATAATGAAGTTGTATCAACAACAACAACAACAACAGCAGATACGGATGGATCACCTAATCTTTATGGTTAATAATAATTAACGTTTTTTGTTTTGTTAAAAGATTTTGTTTTTCTAATTTAGATAGTGAATTGGGTCGTATTGCTAAGACAGTTGATTAATTCTTTTTGTTTTCTTTTCGTATTGAAATGATAATAACTTTAACGTTGGTTCTTTCTTTTTATCTATTCAATTTAGTGCTGTGTTTTTTCCTACTTATGTAAACTCTGTTTTTTTTTATACTTACTTAGTTGTGATACATTTTCACACTCGACTTTATATATTTAAAATAAAGAAGAGCCAGAACAAAAATGAATAGAAATATATTCGTTATATATTTGAAATAATTAAGAAAAACTGTAACATTAAAACAAACATCTTTTTAGGTGATCAAAAATCTATAAGTTACTGGAGAATGAAATTGTACTGAATCTTAGACGAATTTGAGTATTGTAAATCTAGAATTAAATTCATATGTTATTTTCTAGCATACCGCGTAATTCATCCTATTAAAATGCACTTTAAATTCTAAGCGAATTTCAACTTTTATGAAATTACAAAAGTCTCTGATGCCTTGAAAGAATTAATCACAATCATTAACAAGTATATTAACTTACTAATCATATTCAACTTATTTGATTGTCAAGATTTATTCATAAACAAAGGTTGGAAAAGCATGAGCAGTTAATAAAAATCTACTTTTAATATCTATATCGATAACATGTAGATCGCAATTTAAGGGAATCCCCATCTTGAGGGTGTTGGTGTGCGAGGGCTCTTTTGGTTTCGCGTCTACATGAACACCCAGCAGAATTTTTGTTGATTGTTAAAGAGAGTTAAAAAAGTAAATATCAGCAGAATTATATTTACTACGATGATAGGTGGTTTAATATGTTGATGAAAAAAAGAGAATACACGATTTTTTAAGCGTATGATTGTTTATATTTATGTTTTAAATAGCATATGTATGAACGTCTTATAATTATTTAATTTGTAAAGTGAAGCCTATTTGTTAGCAAGATCACAATTCTTTTTCGATAAAAGCAATATTTTGTCGAAGAATCTTCATCCTTTCATGGTTGTCTGGGAGGGATACTTCTCCGATATCTAACCCACGTTCATAATACATGAGTGCAGTGGAATACTTTCCAGTCATGTAATGTACACTACCAAGATGCATATAAGTTTGAACAAGGTCAGGATGGTCATGTGGCAAAGATATTTGTTGCATTTGTAGCGCCTCTTCATAGAACGTGAGTGCCACTGAGAACTGTTTCATGTCCTGATACACAGTACCAATGTCAATATAAGCGCCTGCAGTGAGAGGATGATTGGGTGGAAGAGATGTTTGTCGGATTCGAAGTGCTTTATGATAGAAAGAGAGTGCACTCACATAGTCTCCTGTGTGACTCTTTACGTTGCCAATATTGCTGTAGGTGATGGATAGTTCAGGATGATTGGAATGTAAAACTTTTTCATTGATTTCCAGAGCTTTTTCATAGAAAAAGGCGGCATTTTCATACTGATTCATATCTTGATAAATTCCACCAATATTGTCATAAGTAGTAGCAAGGTCTGAACTATCGGAAGGTAAAATGATTTCTTGGATATGACGAGTCTTTTGAAGGAACAAGAGTGCCTCTAAATGGTTTCCCATAGATTTGTATGTTGTAGCGATGTTATTATAGTTAAGAGCAAGGTCAGGATGGTTGGAAGGTAGCACCTTTTCATTGATTTGAAGTGCCAGTTGTTGAAAGGAAAGTGCAGTTGGGTAATTTCCCATTTTGCGATTTACGGTGCCAATGTTGTCGTAAGTGATAGCAAGATTTGGGTGATTAGAAGGAAGAATATGTTTTTGAATTTCAAGTGCTTTTTGATGAGATAAAAGTGCCTTTTCTAACTTTCCCATTTTGCTGTACAGAACGCCAATCGAACTGTATGTGGAAGCAACATCAGAATGGTAGGGTGATAGAAACTTTTGTTCGATTTGAAGTTTTCTTTCAAAGAAGTGGGAAGCCTCGTCGTAACTACCATTTTGGTATTTAATATTACCCAATATCTCATATAAACGGATAATTTCTTTTTTATCATCATTGTCCGTCATTTCCAGTAAGACTTTATATAATTGTTCGGCACGTTCTGCCTCTCCCATTGAAAGCATCAATTTACCTAATTTATGCCAACCTTTTTCCTTCCAAGTTTGCATATCCATTATCTCAATGAAAGCTCCAAGCGACGTATCATTCACATTTGTTCCTGTCAATTGCACTTGCCAAATATTTTCCTGATTTTTGGCTATATGACTGATATGAAAAATACTGGTCATAGAGAACAAAATGTCTTTTCTTGATTTATAATCATAACTTAATTCATTCAGCACGATAAATGGTGTATTTTTGGAAGTAACATGTTCAATTTTGATTTGAAAGAGAACAGGTAATATTTCAGTATGTTGTCGAACAGAAGAACAGATTTTAATTGCTAATTCTTGATCGGTAGTAGTCAATAAAAAGGTACTGAAAGACATGAACTTATCTTTATTCTTTTGTAGTTTATTGATATTACTTATATTTAATCTAATGCATTGATAAACATCTAAAGAACCCAGAGAATTTGATTTTTTCTCATGCAACTTTTCTATCTGTTTAGAAATATCACGCAAAAATAAGCCCATTTTTATTAAAATTCTCATGTCCATAGTTCGAAGAACTCGAGTGATTATTGAAGAGATAAAACATTCTCGTGTATACCACCAGACTGGTGAATGTTCATCATAATGTTGTTCGAATTCATTGACAATTTTTAACATATTTTGATTAGTTTCGTAGTGTTTGCGTAGCACCTCTATCATATGTTCTTCTTCGTATTCAATATCGAATAAAATCATTTTAAGCATTTGTATATATTTGAAAGAAGGTTCAACTCCTTCCTTGGCAAATATATTATCTAAGGAAGCGATGTTGATTGTAATCGATTCACTATCACAAAATTTGGTTTCATACTAGAATAAATAATAAATTGTCTCAACCTAGCAGTCTTATTTCGTCATATATTGATATATGCTGACAAATAGTAGTACACACAGATTTTGAATTATCTGGAAGTTCATTTCGAAACATTAGTTCAGGGAAATTCAGTCAATAAATCTATTAGATAAATATTGATTGATGAATCTTAGAATTAATAGACAGATTATATTTATAACTACCACAGATTTGATCACATTTTTGGGTTAATTACGATTAAGTTGACTGCAGTATTTGCTTTATTAGATTTATAATACATTCTTAAAGCTATCCTCGATATGATACTTTTTAACAGTCACCCTCAAAATTCATTAAAAAAAAACAGTTTAGTCATAATACCTTTTTGTCTCTTCCATCAGAGAAAAGATTTCCATTTGACTCAGTATCGCCGAATGCACCATTTATATTAACAATTGCAGTCCATAGAAAAATAAAGTATATGATAAGACGAATTGATAATCCGCACTTTATAGGTAGTATATTAATACCAAATATTTGACTCTTTTTTTCCATTGTGTTTTTATCTAAAAAATTGTAAATTTGTTTATTTCTCGTATAACATTTCATTGAAAATGTTAAATGTCGTTGTATTAGATGGCTCAAATGAATTTCAGCATGCTAACTAAACTCGTTTTTCTTCTTTAAGTATCACAACTGTATTAACAATGGGATATTGAGCAAACCACTTTTCCAGTCTCTTTCACAGAAATATAAGTCAGTACACAGATTGACGGTACTGGGTGGGCTTATTTTTATTTTGTCTACGAGAAGAATTAAATCCTCTTATATAACTATTTAATGAGAACAAGTATAAAAAAGAATTCCAGCATAAGACACGAAAATAATAGGTATACCAATATAAATTAAAAAAAACCTTGTCAGCGCAGTCCTTTTGAAGCTAAAATGTACAAAAATATATGAATTTCACAAAAAACTGTCCTCAATAAAGATAAGTTGCAGTTAGTTTTGCCTTATCCACATTTTTTTATCCCTAACTTAATGCGTTACTCACTTTAAATTGTAAAATAATGAAGAAGTAACTTTGAATTTAATTACATGATGACTAATCTCTTCTACGTCGAATAACGTATCATCAAATATTGATTGATGCTAAGATTTTATTAGATAAAACCATTGAAGCGAGTTGCTTGACATAATTCAATTAAGTCAACTTCGTTTCGGTTTTACAATGATAATAAAAGGCAAAAAATGATCCATAAAAAAACTCAACGAATTATTAAAAAAAAAGAAAAACTGCGTTTCTACCCACTTTTTTCGTAGTCGAGAAAGTTTGAAGCTGTTTTTTATATCAAATATCACATAAAAAGCACTACACTTTTACTTTCTCTTTCTTTTCTTCGCTCAATTTTCGACGGTTGCACAATCTAGTCTCAATATTGACACATAACTCGGAGACAATAAAAATTTCTTTTTTTCAAATGAGTAATAAACTGTATGGGCGACAACGCTGTGGCAACTAGAATTATTACGATTCCGTTTTTTATCGTTTTTCGTTCGATGCTACTTATTTATTCTGTTCTATGACAAATTCGCAACTTTTTTCTCTTGAAAACATGATAAAATCTTCCAACATGAGTCATATCTATAGTATAGGAAGCGAAATAAATATTAGCTTAAAAACACTCATAAATCATAACATAAAAAGTACTTCCGAGGAAGCCAAATTTCCAGCTTATGAGTTTATTTTATTTTCAACAGAACTCTCGGATAATTCTATCAATAATTAAGAGGGTGGGTGGATGTCGATGTGAATGGAATAAAATACCCACGCTCTACTCATAATGAACAGATTTAAAAAAAAAGAAACAAACGGATATAGATGATGTCAAAGAATTAAAGTTAATAATTCGCCTAGTGTAAAATAGACACAAGAAAGTAGATCAATTGAAACTTTAACTAAGAACTATTTACCAGTGAATAACGCTTAAGAAAATTCTGTCATTGAAATAAAATCTATATCTGTCTTATATGTTTCTAATATTCTAATCATATTTGCACTATATATACATGATATTTAAAATATTTTCTTTTACTTTTAAAATTATTCCAATAAACAACTCACCACAATTAAATAATCAAAATGAGAGAAATAAAGAAGACTCTAGTAATGTGTGTAGTTGTTGATTTTATTTTTTATTGTGTATGTAAAACTGTTTGTTTCTTTCGTCGAATAATTTACTTTTAATCTTTTTAACCTGGCCAAACTTTTCGTTTCTTTTGTTTGAATATATTTCACATACACACTCAACCGAAAGTGACTGTACACATTAAAAACAAGTGAAAAGATTCAGGGTAAAGAACAGACGACAAGTGATTTTACAATCAAGAGAAAAATTTTCATATTTATTTGAATAAAATTTATTTTAAATAGAATTTACACATCGATATTTATTTCTGTATCAAGTGTATATATGTGTGAGTGAATGTGGGTGCGGGTGTTCTCTTTAGATCAATAAGAGACACCAACCACACCCACACCCATTAGAATTTATTAGACCTGTAAAGTTAACATAACCTGATCCGGTTTGATTAAACTTTTTAAAATCGATTAGTACACCTTTTATATTTGCAACTTGCACTTTATGTACAGTTGAAGCCCAACCTAATATTATAGGAAACTGTCCAGTATTTTTTCTTTCTTCATCTTCATCTCTTGAATTATTGTATCTTTCAATACAGACATTTTTTTCTTTTCCACAAATTCCATAAATACTTCGATGTTCTCGGCCAGAATTTGAATTGTCTTGAGG